AAGAGTAGAAAGTTGCAAACAACCTAAATGTCCACCATAAGAAGAATGATTTATTATTTATTTATACCCCATCCTGTTCCAAAATGATTTTGAGGTAGCTTTCATAATATATTCTTTTTTTTTTTTTTTTCCTTTTTTGTCTTTTTTTACTGACCGGTAATGGGATCGCAACCCTCGGTGTCACGCCTGCACCGCGCTCAGCCAGTGAGCGGGAACCGGTCTCCACATGGGATCCGACCCCTCGGCGGGAGCGCCACTGCGCTCCCAAGTGGCGCACTCTCCAGTGCGCCACCGGGCCGGCCCCATAATATATTCTATGATATAAAAATAAGTAAAGAATTCAGTCAAAGAGAAATTTGAGTGTTAGGCCACAGATTTTACTCTGAGCTTTCTAGCAGCCAAAGTAAAGAAGGAATATGACCCATGTTCATACCATAAAAGATTGTGTTGCTTGGGAGAAGCAACTATTCTGGTACTGAGACCAAGGAGAAAATTTTCTCATGGGGCTCAAAAAGAAGATAGAATAGAGAATGGTTATTTTGACAACCTAAAAAACAACAACCAACCTTATAGAGCTGTTTCTTATAAAGTCCTTTGGTAGTACCCCACAAAGTGCCAATGAACAGTTGGTAAAGAGTATTGCAGTGTGGGGCAGGAGTGCAGAGATGGTTGTGGTTAGGATGCCCATGAGAATGGTCTAGTACACTTTTCTGAGGATCAGCTCAATGGCGTGATATACTTTAGAGATTTAAACTGTAGTTCTCAACTGACATGTCCTGCCACCCTAGTGTCCTGTGAATCTTCACAGATTGGCCACTGAATTTTTGTCAGTGTGTCACATTTATTTTTGCTACAGCCAAGGATCCAAACTGCTAAGAAATCTGTCAGATGGTAGTATAGGATGTGATCTGCAGCAGCTATCAGGGATGCTAGGCAGTAGGCAAGAGGTGCCACTTAGGCTGGTACTAAAGAGAATTTAACAGGGGTAACTGAACAGTCTCTGTAAGTATCTCTCAGATTACATTTTGGTAAGTGCTATGGAGAGAGAGCAAGTCTGTGTCTGGTCAGGTGGAAATGCAAATGCTTTAATAGTTGACTAGTGCAGTTGACAAGGTCTGATGAGGGTTGAGATGCTTGAAAGAAAGCTAGCTTACTTCCACATGGAGGTGGGAAGAGGAAGTAGCTATGGGCAGGACCTACCTTTTCCTTAAAAAACACAGTTGGATCAGGCCTGATCCAACACATTTGGAAAAAGCAGTCAAGGTTTCCACATTTCTCCATTGTACAACACTTGAGGCCTGATCCAACACATTTGGAAAAAGCAGTCAAGGTTTCCACATTTCTCCATTGTACAACATAGCCATGTTAATTTTATATCTGGAAGAATTGTTTTTAAATGAATGATATCAAACATTGACCTAAGTAAAAGAAAAAAAAGTTGTGAGATATCCATAGAACATCTAATTTTAAGCTATATAACTTCCTGTTAAATCCTTCAAGACATATGGTGTCCAAGTAGTCAATAACCAGAGTGGCTAAGGAAGGTTTGTAATCTGAATCCCACCTTAACCTCTGTTTGAGCCTCAGTTTCTTCATCTGCCAAATAAGGATACTAGTGCCCACCTTAGGGTTATTGTGAGGATTGTTTAAGTGCAGATAAAACCTCTTAAATGAGCTCACTGATTGGAGGAATGAGTCAGATTATCTCCCTTAAGATGCCTTTTTTTTTTGGCAGCTGGCTGGGATGGGGATCTGAACCCGTGACCTGGTGTTACCAGCAACACGCTCTCGCAAATGAGCTAACTGGCCAGTCCCTTCTTTCAGATATTTGAGGTGGAATCTTTAAAAGTTATAGATAGCAAAAGTTTGAAAGCCCTTTGGTCAGCCTTGCCCTTCTCATCCTTGTAATCTCTCAAGTCCAACCACAGAAGCAGGTATCTGGTGGTAGCTGAGCCATGAGTTAAAGGCAAAAAAGGCAGCTGTTCTGAGGACAGTCGCATCTGGGAAGCTTTGTCTCATGCTCCCATTTACTTCTGAGTTGGGTACCAGATAACTTTCCAAGGCTTCTGTTTTGCTTCATACTCACAGGAAAGCTGTTTGTCATGGCTCCAGGAAGACCCCTGCCCCACTTGCTTCTGGTCCTGGCATTTAGGTCCTCAGAGAAATTCATGATATGTAGAATAAATCAAAGTTAAAAGATCACAGTGTGAAATATGCAGGAAGAAAACAGGGAGATAGACAGGAAGAATGTAAATGTTAGCAAAATCAAATCAATGCTGCAAGCAGTTAATATTGTTACCTCTGTCAGAATTTTGTTTTTCTTTTTCTTTTTTTTTTAATACCCCTGAAAGCCAGAGAGTAAAAGGGCTAAGATGTAGACTGTGGGGGTAGGGATGCTTGCAGACTAGTTCTACCTTTATCTTAGTAGTATTAACCTCATCTCAGCATTTCGATACTATAACAACAAAGTTTCTATCTCTGGTTTTTCTTACTAAAGCCCCATTCTATCAGGGCCAAGAGGGGAGGAGAGCAGTGCCTGGGGCAGTGAAAAGAAAATCCTCTGAAACCCAAGTTTGGTAACCTCATTGGTTTGCCGAGGCCCGCCCAGCTCTGCACGTGCATATGTATTGTGTCACCGTCTATGTCAGTGTCATAGTATCTACTTTCCTTCAGCATCCCAGGCTTGCCTTTCCAAGGAGAAATGTTTTGCTTCCTTGGCCATATATTTACTTTAATACTTCTGTATTCAAGTGGCTTAATTTTACATTTGACACAAACCAACAAGAAGCCACTGCCCTAGTTGGGCAGGTCATTTGAGGGAAATACTGCTCTAAATGAGTTGCAAAGTTTCCTGACCAAGAGGAGGTTCATACAGGGGTCCTGAGAACATTTGCAGATGTAATTCTTCAGACACTTCATTCATTATTGACTTATTGTGGAGAACAAGAAATGTGTCAGAAGACTGGAGATATTGTTAATACAATCTTTCAAAAAAGGAATTCTGCAGTTTTTTTTTTTTTGGTGGCTAGACCAATATGGGGATCCAAACCTGTGACCTTGGTGTTATAAGGCTACACTCTAAGGAACTGAGCTAACTGGCCAGGCTTCAAAAAAGGAATTCTGGGGCCGAGCCTGTGGCGCACTCGGGAGAATGCGGCGCTGAGAGCCCCGCCGCGGGTTCGGATCCTATATAGGGATGACCGGTGCGCTCACAGCGCTCACTGGCTGAGCACGGTGTGGCCGGTCTCAGAAAAGGACACACAAAAAAAAGGAATTCTGGAAATTAGTCCATTTTGATTCCAGGCCAGATTCCAGCAAGAGATGGCATGTATGCCTCGAAGGGGGAAGCACTAGGAGTTTCAACACAGTCTCACAAAATCCAGGAAACTTTAGGCCAGGGGTTTTCCACCCCATCAGATTCATCTCCCTCTTTTAATACTTTGTGATGTTTCTTCTATCATCCTGAATTTATTTTTTTTATTTATTTTTATTTTTTATAGTGATGACTGGTAAGGGGATCTTAACCCTTGGCTTGGTGGTGTCAGCACCACGCTCAGCCAGTGAGCAAACCGGCCATCACTATATAGGCTCCAAACCCGTGGCCTTGGTGTTATCAGCACCACACTCTCCCGAGTGAGCCATGGGGCTGGCCTCTACCATCTTGAATTTAAAATCAAAGATAAAAAACCTGCCCACATACATTATTTGTAAAAAACCCAAAAAACCCCCAAAATATGTTTGTAGGTATATGCACATGTGCACACACACACAGAATGCCCTAATAAAGGAGCAATTTCAAAGTGTGTTAATAAAATTTATTCTTGTGTGTAATATTTGGGTATGAGCATACTGGAAGACATAAAGAAGTAATCAGAAGCTTTTACCAACATGTAGGATCACCTGAATGCAGACTGCTAACAAACGCAGACTGATAACAAGTGTATAGCTTTGCTCTCGGAGATGTGATTTTCAGAAATGGTGAACACCTCTGGGTGAAGTCCGAACAAAACAGAATGTGATCTTCCTACAGCTTATATGGAAGTTCCCGTCCAAGAAAATTCAGCATATATGAAAACCACATTAAAAAATACTTTGTGTTCATATGTAAAACTGAGTTAGGGGCAAAGCTGAGACAATAGACATGTACAAGTCCCGTGCTGTATCTTCATTGTACAGTCACTGCCCACTCAAACATTGCAGGAAACGTGCCTGGCCTCTGCAAGTGACACCTACTGATCATCGCAACAAAGAGCCCCCAGAGGATGACCCTGTCTCTATTGGGCTAACAGAGTTTTCAAGTCCTGGTCTGCCAGATGCAAAAGCACAGAATGGCTGGCTGGCCTCACCCAAGGAGTTCAGATCCATTGAAGAGGCCTGCCAGGGACAGGCTTGTTTTTAATGGCATACTGCTTCTCTACAGAGAGTACTAAAAGCTATTGGCTTGGATTAGATTCCTTTTAAGGTGCTTTCTAACCCTAAGATTTGCTTTTTCTTGATAATGATGTTTTTGACTTTTCTAATTGTTTTTGTGTTAATAAGAAAACATAATTGCATTGACAAGTGTTAAATGACAGAGATGCCCAGTACCACTATGATTATTTTCTGTGACCGTTTCCAATATAAACCCTCTGTTCTTTCTCTGAGTTCAGCCACTTTGGACCATCTCTTTTTCATGTGGGCAGTGCCCTGCAGAGCTGATAGGCCTTGCTTCTGTTGGGTCTTTGAAACAGCTGTCAGCCAGAGAATTAGTAGTCTTTGCCAGCCTATTGAGTCTGCAATAGAGACCTCCATAACTTTTCAGTGACTAATTTTTTCCCCAGTGTCATATGTAGGGATACCAGGAGAGTGAGTCTAGAGTGTGTGTGTGAAAGTTTTTGTTGTTTTCCTGTTTGATTCTCTTCTCTTAGGAATCAACTTCTGAAAGTTTAGAATTGAATTTTAACTAATACCAAGTTTTATTTTTTATTTAAGGCTGTTTCTGATGCTCGGAAGCTATCCTTTCAGCCACAAAGATGGTAATAAATCTTTGCCTCCCACAGTTCAGACCAAGAATTCACTGCAACAAGGTAAACAAAACAAATATATACACATATACACATAAATATATGATATTTATTTTGCATGTTCTTCCCCATTCCTGCCTTGCATATGTGAACTTGGTTCAGGCTTACTGTACTTTGTGGGTTTTTTGGAGTATTTTTGGTGGCTAGCTGGTAAGGACATTCAAACTCTTGACTTTGGTGTTATAACACCAAGGCTTCCTGTACTTAGACTCTCAGTATTTTTAGATTCTGTCAGCTGGTATTTAGATAAGCATGGGTCAGGCTCACCTCTAGAATCATGCAGCACCGTTACGAGGGAAGCTGTGACTCATTTTGTGCAAGGTCTTATTCATTATCCTTTTCCCTCTTTGATGATCAATTTCTTTTTTTTTTTTTTTAAAAAAAAATGACCGGTAAGGGGATCTTAACCCTTGATTTGGTGTTGTCAGCACCACGCTCAGCCAGTGAGCGAACCGGCCATCCCTATGTGGGATCCGAACCCGGGGCCTTGGTGTTATCAGCACCGCACTCTCCCGAGTGAGCCACGGGCCGGCCCATTGATGATCAATTTCATTTCCACTCAAAGGCATAGCAAAGGTAGAAATACTGTCTCCACTTCTTTCTAATTTCTAATGCTAGAAGTAATGGCTTGTATTTGTTATTTGAATTATTTGTTATTTATTATTTGAATTAAAGCTTTCTTCCCCTATGCAAAGGAGTGTATCTATTCACGGTACAAAGGAGGAAATAAGGAAACACCAAGGGAAAAATTGAACCCCTTCCCTAATTCGGAGTTTCTGCACATAGAATACTATTTAAAATTCCTAGGTTATTAGGCTGACTCCTTCAGACAAAAATACCTTAAAAATTTCCATTGGTTCTAACAAATATTAGAAATATTAGAAGGGGAAGAAGTTACAAATCCCACCCCCAGCACATTCACTGTTTCAATTTCCTGTAGTCTTTTGTGGTCCTTGTTCTGTGCACACATTTTTTTTACCAAGTTTCTTTTTTTTTTTCTTTTTTTTCTTTTTTTTTTCTTTTTTTTCTTTTTTTTAAAAAGATGACCGGTAAGGGGATCTCAACCTACCAAGTTTCTTTTTTTTTTCTTTTTTTTCTTTTTTTTAAAAAGATGACCGGTAAGGGGATCTCAACCCTTGCCTTGGTGTTCTCAGCTCCACGCTCAGCCAGTGAGTGAACCGGCCATCCATATATAGGATCCGAACCCGTGGCCTTGGTGTTATCAGCACCGCACTCTCCCGAGTGAGCCACAGGCTGGCCCACCAAGTTTCATCATCGATAGATTTACAAGAAACTTGTTTGTTATGCCTCCCTAGGAAAACTGTTAAAATACAAAATACAAATACAGAATTGAGAACTTTAATGACATTTTTGTCTTCCCTTAAATCTGCATATTTTTATACTCTGAAATAAAAAACCACTAGTATATCCTGCCATCTTTTCTCAGAGATGTTATTTTGAAGGGATTTTTGGTTCAGGTGGGTGGGTTTTGTTCATATTTTTAAGTTTGGGCAGTACTTGGGGACACGGTTGCCCTCAACCTTTGACCTGATTTGGGGTGCTTGCAAAAAAACCTGGGACAATTCAGTTTAATAGAGAAAATTTTAAAATGGAGAACTTCAGACTTCCTTTAAAGAGTTTTCTTAGAAGTGACAAGTTCTTGAAAACTAGTTGTCTTGATTTGGATCAACATGTCTCATATTTGTCATAGATATCAGCTGATGGTTATGAAGTAGAAAATCTCATCTCTGAAGACCTCACAAAGAGAAGTCATGGTTTCAGGACAGAGTATTTTATTAAGCCACCAGTCTATGTGACAGTTTCCTTTCCCTTTAATGTGGAAATCTGTAGGATTAACATAGACCTCACACCTGGGGGAGGCCAGAATGTCACTGGCTTGGAAATGTACACATCTGCCTTAACCAGCAGAACGTCTTGGAGTGTGCCTGAGTGCTGGACCCCAAGCCTGGTCGAGCCATCTATCCCCAACAAGGAGGCATTCACCTTGGTGGGCAAAGTCTTACTGAAAAACCAGAGCCAAGTGGTGTTTAGCCACAGGGGCTTCAAGGCCAGGCCACCTTTTGGCCCAGTGGAAGTCATGCTCCCCTCTCCTGCTGTTGTGGCCCAGGAGCTCTGGAATAAAGGAGCTCTTTCCCTTAGCCACGTGGCCCATCTCAAGATCTGTATTACCCATGTGACAGGCAGCGGTATCCCTTGCATCAAGCGGTTGGAAGTGTGGGGTCAGCCAGCCAAGACCTGCTCTCAGGAGGTGATAGACGGTGTCCTGCTGGTTGCCTCAGAGAGACTGCCGCAGGACCTGGCTCTGCAGGTCCCAGCCTTGCCCATGGAGAGTGACTGTGACCCCGGTGGCCAGTCTGAGGGCCAGCAGGCTCCCACCAACCTGCAGGAGCTGGCTGAGGTGACTCGGGATGTGCCTGAGGAGTTCCTGGATCCCATCACCCTGGAAATTATGCTTTGTCCCATGCTGCTGCCCTCCGGCAAGGTCATCGACCAGAGCACACTGGAGAAGTGTAACCGCAGTGAAGCTGCATGGGGCCGAGTGCCCAGCGACCCTTTTACGGGGGTAGCCTTTACTCCACACTCCCAGCCCCTGCCTCACCCCTCCCTCAAGGCCCGGATCGACCATTTCCTGCTCCAGCACTCCATCCCTGGCTGCCCTCTGCTTGGCAGAGCACAGACTGCACTGGCAGTGACCCCTTCTTCCATTGTTCTGCCCTCTCGGAAAAGGAAGATGGAGCAGCCTGCACCTGCCCCAGACAGTGGCCTTGGTGAAGAGGCTTCCTCTTTTTCTACTACAAGCCCTCTGCTCTTACCTTCTACCTCAGAGCACACTGCTAAGAAAATGAAAGCCACCAGTGAGCTCAGCCTTACACACATGGACTGTTCAACAGGTAATTCACTGTCCTGTGTCCGTGGCCTATTCTCATCCCCACTTTTCCCAGGTGGCACTCAGCACTGTTGCCCTTGGCTTTATGCTTTGCCAGCTTAAGTCCCTCAGGCCAGTGCCTGTGCTTCTTCCTCTCAGTTCTCGTTGTGGGCCCTCAGCTTTGTCTTCAGACCGGAGGAAACCTGGAGGCCTTGCAGGGCTCCTGTGTATTCTTCTTGTCTGTTCCGGGGCTTCAGTCTGCATGTTTTGTTTGCCCCTCTGATGATAGTTCCACTGGTAGTTGTGCCTTACTTGGGCTCCCTTTATGTGCCCTGGCCAGGTCAGCACTTTTTCCTGGGCCTGAAGCCTCTGGTCAGAGCTGCTGGGAGGAAAGACACCAGCCCCTCAAAACAGACCGTGTCTTTCTTCTTGTTCCTTCTTTACAGTTGCTCAAATATCAGTGGGCTCCTTTGGGTGTTGTTTCTAACTTTCACAGATGTGTGCTGATGGAAGCACATTGAGGTCCTCCCTGTTGCACCTCACCATCAGGTGCCACTAGCACACAGAAAAGGGAAAAAGTACTACGTCATAGGCCCTCCTTTCAGGAAAGAGTTACTGAAAAGCCACTCTGCAGGAAGTGTGGTCAGTAAAAGTGTGGATGAATTGCAACATTCTGTAGTGTGAGGTTTAAGCGTCCTGGCTGCCTGCCTCTTCCCAGGGGCACTGCCAGTGATGCTGCCATCTCCTGAGGAGAGCAGCCCTGGTTCACTTGGTGACCTCTGCAGCTGAACGTGTTCAGTCAACCACGTGGCTTTGCTTGAGCTTAGCTTTTCTCCCCAGTCACCCCCACTCACCCTTCACGTGTTTCCTCTTTCACTGGGCTCAGATTTGGGGGCCTTTGTTCTGCTGACCCCACATTCATGTTCATGTTCACACCCCAAGGCCCTGAATGAAAGACCATTGTGATTTTCATTTGTTCCACGTAAGATTGACAAGCAATATATTTAATTCTAGTAAGACAGGAGGAAAAGAAATATAAATAAAAAATGTCTTCTCAGCTGAGGAAAGCCTGAGCAGAAATCCTGGTGTCTCAATTAAGACATTTATCTTCAGGCCAGAGTAAATGGTTTAGGGCGAAGATTGTTTTAAAACTTAGAGAACAGAGCAAAATTAGTAAGATCTTTTAACTATAAAATTCAGTCAAAATAAAGGTTAGTCATTTTTGGAATCTAAGATTAGGGAGGAGTTTTAAGGTTGATTTCATAAAAAATTTTTACACAATCACTGTGCCATTTTAACTGAATCTAACCTTACTGCTCATTTTTTAAAAACAGAATGTATTTGTACAGTTTAAAAATTGTACACACAGAGAGTGAAACAGCTACTTTTTACCCTGTCCTCCTGGGCAGTTAAGTTGTTTCTAATTTTTTGCTATTACAAATAACACTGCCAAGAATTAACCTTGTACGTATAATTTTATACCTGTGCAAGTATCTCTATAGGACACCATCATAGAATTGGAATTTCTAGGTCAAAGGATATGTCCTTCTGTGAGTTTGATAGATATGGGTATCCCACCAGCAATGTGTGTGACTCTTCATAGCTGTACTAACACAGTGTGTTATCAAGTGATTGTTTGATAGGTTAAAAATGATGTATTGTTTTAGTTTTCATATCTCTTATTATTCATGAGGTTGAGCATCTTCTCATGTAATAAAAAATCATTTGTGTTTCCTTTTCTATGAACTGTCTGTTCATTTCCTTTGACCATTTTCTGTTAGTTGTTGGTCTTTTTCTTAATAGTTTCTAGGAGCTCTTTATATATTATGAAGATTAGCCCTTTGACTGTGATATAAACTAAAAACATCTTTTCCCAGTTCGTTGTTTGTTTTTTGGTGGAGGCAGGGCTTATCATATTTTTGGCCATCTGGGTTCTTTTTTAGGGAGTCAAATTTATCAGTTTAAAAAAAAAATTTTTTTTAGATAGCTTCAGGCATTTTATTAGAAAGACTTTACACATCCAAAGAAGCCTCTCATGTTTTCTTTTAGTATTTTTGTAATTTGATTATTATTTTTTAAAATTTAAGTCTTTGATCCATTTGGAATGGTATAAGGTATGGATCCATCTTAACATTTTTTCAGATGGCTACCCATGTACTCATTTATTGATTAGTCCTTCTTTCTCCCATTGATCTGTTATGCCACGTATATCATATACTAAATTCCTGTGTGTATTTAAATATTTCTAGACATTCTATTTGTTGGTCTCTTTATTCATGTTCCTGTAACACATTATCTTACTTTTTGTGGATTTCTAATATGTTTTATAAGTGTTAATTGCAAGATCCCCCTTATTGGATACTAGAGGAAACATCCCCCCCCATTTACAAAGTTTCCTTGATTATTATTATGTTTTTTTCCATAGGAATTTTTAGAGTCACCTTGTTTATTCTTCCCCTCACCAAAAACCCTATTTTATGAAAATTGGGATTGCATTAAATTTATAAAGGAACCTAGAGAGTATTGATACCTTTATGATGTTGACTCTTCCCATACAATGTGTTTCCATTAAGGTCTTCTTTTGTGTCCTTGCATGGTTTTAAGATTCTTTATATGGATTTGCCCATTTATAGTAAATTTAATCCTGGATTTTTTTCCTTTTTGATGATGTTCTAAACAGGGTCTTTTCTCCCTCCTTCTGATTTTTATTTAGATATATGAAACAAATATATATTTGATTTTAATATATATTGATTTTTTATATTAACTTTGTACCCCAATATCTACTGAATTGTTTTGTCTGTAGTAATTTTTCATCTGCCTCCTATGCAATCATATGACATGGACATAGTGATAATTTTATAGTCTTCTTTTTTATGTTTTTTAAGCTCTTCTTTCTTTCTCTTGCTCCTAACTGCTTTGGTTGGTTCCTCTGGCACAATATCAAATAATACAGCATCCTTGTCTTGTTCTTACTTCAGTGTGAATGCCTCAGCATAAGCCTGATGTTGGCTCTTAGGCTGAGATAGAGCTGTTTTTATTGTGTTAAAGAAGTATTAGTTATCTATTGTTATGTAACAAATTACCCCAGAACTTATTGGCTTAAAGCAGCAAAAATCCATTATCCCATAACTTCTGTGGTTCAGGAATCCGGGCATAGCTTGGCTGGGTCCTCTGCTTCAGGGTCTTTCAAGGCTGCTACCAAAGTATTTGGTCTCAGGGCTGCAGTCATCTCAGGGCTTGATTGGGGAAGGATTTACTTCCTGGCTTGCTCACATGATTGTTGCAGCGTTCAGTTCCTCGATGAATTGTTGGACGAAAGCCTCTCTTTCTTGTTGGCTGTTGGCTAGGAGCTCCCCTCAGTTCCTTGCCATATGGGCCTCTCCATTGGACAATGCTCTGTGTGGTAGCTGTGCATTCTAGAGAGTGTGCAAACAAGATGGAAATCATGGCCTTTTATAACCTAATCTTCAAAGTAATGTCCCATCACTTTCAATATATTCTATTTGTTAGAAGCAACTCCCTAAGTCCAGCCCATACTCAAAGAGAGGGGATACCCAAGGGCATGAATATCAGGAGGTAGGTTCATCAAGAACCATTTCAGAAACTCTTCCACAACATTGATTCCTATTTTATTGAGTGTTCTTATCCAAGATTGGTGATTGAATTTTGTCTAATGCCTTTTCAGTATCAGTGGAGATGCTACTGTGGTTTTTCATCCTTAGATCTTTTAATGTAATAAAGTGCATAATAGGTTTCCTAATATTGAACCATTCTTACATTCCTGGAATAAACTCTATTTGATCATGATTCTTTTAATGTGCTGCTTGGTTCTGTTTGCTAGTGTTTTATTTTGGGTTTTTGCATTCGTTAGTGAGATTAGACTATGGCAGTGTGTGCACACATGCAATCTTTGGTCAGATTTTGTTATCAATGAATTTTTTTGCTCCATAAAAAGAATTTGGAACTTTTCCTTTTCTATACTGTGGAACCATTTAATAGTATTAGAATAATCTACTCTTCATATATTTGGTAGAATTTCCCAGTGATTGTCAGTGCCTGGTGCTTTTGGAGGATAGCTCTTTGACAACTTTTTCTTTCTCCTTATGAAAATTAGTCTGTTTAGATTTTATTATTCTTTTAATTTTCTGTCTTTCTCTAAAAGGCTATGCAAAGAGTGCACTTAATAGTTAGGCCTGTGTCTCTGCTTTTGAGAGTAAATTTTAGCTAACATGACCCCCAGCAACTCCTGAAAACATCTGAGGTGCAGTGGGGTGAGACGAGGAGAAAGGTCCTTAGACCCCGATGTCTGTTCATGAAAGTCTCAGTGGTGTTGGCCTTGACAGACTTGGTGACACAGTATCGCCCTGACTAGTACTCCTCCAAGGCCCTAAGCTGATGTCCTATGTCCTACAAACTGTAGACAAAATGTTCCACTACCCTCTTTGGGGCAGTCTTAAAAATTCTGCTACCAGGCAGGTCCCTGGGACCTTTCTTGGGCAGCTGTCCTCTTACCCTTTTTCCATTCACACTCTTCCTATAGCTTGGCTTTCTGCTGACCACAAACAGAAGGTCCCCTAAATTGTGGAGCGGTCAGAGTGAAGTCTTAGTTACTCTGCTTAGTACTAACAGGAGAGAGAGGACACAAACAACTAGTGAGACAACCAGCCCTGCAGGGTGGCAGGGCTCCAGAAGGGAGGAGTTGGGAAAAGAGAAGAAAGAGGCTGCTGGAGAGGGAATAGGGGAGCAGGGAGCAGGAGTTCAAAGCTGGCATTTCGTGTCCTGCATGATCATGTCCTTGGCCAGCAGCGAGGCCTTTAGAAAACAGGGTGCTGTTCTGCAGTTGAGCCACAAGGAGGCTCACACCTGCCTGGCAATCTGTCCAAGAGGAGAAAAGCTGGGCAGAGCTGGTGAACCCTGAAAGCATGTGGGATGGGTAGGAACTGTCAGGGTTCCCAGGGCAGTAACTCCTGATGTTCTGTCATCACAGCCCACTAATAGACATTAGGAAGCAGTTTCTTTACATTTATGTGTATCTGAAGTTGGAACTGCCATTTTTGTAGTCCTCAAAGGACTTATATCTTATTCTTCTCTTTTGCCGAACCTGTCTCTGGATGTTGTGGTCTGTGCATCTCTTGACAGGTCCAGTGTCCCATGAGCAGAAGAGCTGGTGAACCCTGAAAGCATGTGGGATGGGTAGGAACTGTCAGGGTTCCCAGGGCGGTAACTCCTGATGTTCTGTCATCACAGCCCACTAATAGACATTAGGAAGCAGTTTCTTTACATTTATGTGTATATGAAGTTGGAACTGCCATTTTTGTAGTCCTCAAAGGACTTATATCTTATTCTTCTCTTTTGCTGAACCTGTCTCTGGATGTTGTGGTCTGTGCATCTCTTGACAGGTCCAGTGTCCCATGAGCAGAAGCTGTCACAAAGCTTGGAAATTGCCTTGGCATCCACCCTTGGCTCCATGCCCTCCTTCACGGCTCGGCTGACCAGGGGACAGCTCCAGCAGCTTGGCACAAGAGGGAGCAGCACTTCCTGGAGACCAGGCACTGGCTTGGGTAACATGGGCCCCATCCAGCTTCTTAGAACCTTTGAACTGTGCAGGACACTGGGCCATATCTCTGGGAGCTCTGTGGACCTGCATTTCCAGGAAGAGTTGAGGGGCTCCCTGTGAAATTGAGCTCTTCACAAGAAAGGCTTTCTTTAGTCAACCCTTAGTACTTCTGAGGATTTAGGGCTTGGCTACTCTCTGCTGTGTAAAATCTAATGTTAGTTATTCTCTCCTGTGGATTTTTGTTTCTCCTTTTTAATTTTTCTAATCTAGTCTGTCTCCTATCTGACATCTGAGGTACTTTATGTAAATGTGAAGGGAGGTTTGGGGTTGAGTGTGTCATCTTCAGCACTTCCTGTTATCAGTGGTACTTTCAGCTTGCTTAATGTTTGGTGCAAAGAAAACATCCAAGGCCAGGCTACTCTCTTTCTTGGCTATAGCACTCAGGAATGTTGAGGCAGGGCAGCCCCTTTAAACCACATTGCAGTATGTGTTCCCCCCGTGAGGACTTGGGCTGCTCAGTGAGTGAGTCCTACCCACCAGTTGGCTTGGGAGCTGCGCTGCATTTTAGTCCCCAGTCACTTTGTGTGGATGTCAGCCCCTCTCATCACATGTTGATTGAGCACGTGTGAGGTACTGTGCTGCCCTGAAGATAAACAGATGAGAGGAACAGATGTGGTCCTTACCATTAAGGGGCTTCCAAAAGCCTGGGGGAGGTAGCAGGCATGTGACTTGGTGGTATGAGAAGGGCTGACAGGCTCTGCAAGCTCAGGAAAGGGGCAGCCGGGGATGGCTTCCTGGAAGGGGCATGGTCTGTGCCAAGTGTCAGGATAAGGGCATTCAAGCAGAGGGAACAGCAAGCACAAAGTCAGGAGGCCTGCAACAGGAAAATATGTGCAGAAAATTTGAAGTTGCTGGACCCTAAAGTTGCTGGACGAGACTGTGTGGTAAGAGAGGTGAGGCTGGACAGGCCATTCAAGGGAGTCTTGACTGTCCCGTAAGGTGGTGGGGAGCCCCTAAGCGTTGTCAAGCAGAAGCATGGGTGGTCAGGTGGTATACATGGGTCACTGGAGGCAGCTTTGTGGATGGACTGAGAAGACAAGACTGGAGAAAAGTGAATGAATTAGCAAGAGTGGCCTGGATTATGGTAATGAAAATGGATTATGGTAATGATAATTGATGGAAAGGAGGGGGTGGGTTTAAGAAGCATTTCTGAAGCAATTTGGTTTGAGATGCCTTTGGGCTCCCTTAGAGAGTAGTGGCTGGGAATGGAAAAGTGGACCACAAGGAGGACAAGTGAGCCCATCCCCTGCTCCTCTCCAGAGGGGTGTGGATTGGGGGAGAAAGAGAAGCTTCTTTAGGCAAGGGCCATGAGGGAAGGAAGAACTATGGGTGCAGCTTTTGGAGGGTGGGGTGGCAGGAGCTGCCTGCTGTGCCCTTCTTTTAGGGAGGTCCTGCAGGAGTCGTGGAAGGAGGGAGAGCCTGCCCAAGGGGCCAGGGTGGCACAGGAAGGGGATTAAGGGCTCAGGAGGGAGCTGCAGGGCTCAGCAGGCAGGCCCAGCAGACAGACTGAGTTCTGCCCTCTGGTGACCTCCCTCCCCACTGACCTGCCCCAACCCTGGTGCACCGAACCATTTGCTGCTTTTGCCTTTTCTTGTCGCAGAGTGAGCTTGTGCCTTGCTCTGGCCTTGGCAGCCCTTCTTGGGGGAAAGTATACCTTACTAGGAGACCAGGAGGAAGGGCCCTGTCCTGCCTGCTGGCCTCAGAAGCCAGCTCTTCTTGAGCATTCATGGTAGGTCCAAGATTTGGTCAAAGATTGACAGAGAGGAGGTTCCCAGGTTCCCTGGGTCCCTGCCACCCTCTTCTCTTAGATAGGCTGGAGGTGGGCTAAGGAGGAATGAAACCAGGCTGTTGCAATGGTGCATGTGGGACCAAGGGAGCAGCTCTCCCTAACCCTGGCCCATTTTCCTCCCTGATTTACCAGAGCAGCCTGGGAGCGTCCTGGGCCACGAGTGCGCCTCCTGCAAAAGAGTGTTTTCTCCCTACTTCAAAAAGGACCTGGTGTACCAGCTTCCCTGTGGCCACCTCCTGTGCCGACCCTGCCTGGGTGAGAAGCAGCACTCCCTGCCCATGACCTGCCCGGCCTGCCAGCAGCCATTCACCAGCCAGGACGTGCTGCGAGTCCACTTCTGAGTGACCGGCCTCAGCTGGAGAAGAACCATCCCATCGCTGGGAGGGGCTGAGGGGCCAGATCTCAGGCACAGAGCTGCCCTTCAGTTTCCAGGTGGCTTTCCTTTATCACCTCACAGTGTAGCACTTGGCTGCAGCGAGTGAGGGGTTGGGGAGGGGCACTCCACTCCTGCTCAAGCGGCAAAAGGATAACAAAGCCATAGGGCTGGGAGGGGTGGGGGAGATGTCCCTGCCCTCCTGTTCCTCCTTGCCACTCCCTCTGCCAGAGCCCAGCGCCTGCTGGAGGCAGCCCCTCCCTGGGCAGGAGCACCCCTGCTAGGGGCCCCGAGTTGTCTGTACACACCCCCATCCAGCAGGTCAGTGTGCATGGAGCACAGCAGGCTGTGGCTGGGGATCTCAAAGAGCCTCTGCCTTGGCACCCCTAAGTGGACCATGGCAGGGTCTGTGGAGTGCATGACTCAGCCCTCGCCCACTGGCAGACCACGCTGAGCCTTAATAAAGTGATGGTTGACGTCTGCCATGGGCTTCCTCATAGCAAAGTGACTGTCTCTGTCGTCATATTCCTGTCCCCTACCTGCACCCACGCAAGTAGAGCTGTCACAGGGCAGCCACGAGCAGTCACTGCAACCTGTCAGGCTGTAATTGATGTCAGCAGCCTGAAAGGACAAAACTGGGGTGTTCCGATCTGTCCAGTGTGTGAGGACCCAGAATCACACAGCAGGGTGTGCATGCTGAGGAGGGTTGAGCGGCCTCCCTCTGGCCAGGCATCAGTGTGCACTCAGCTGGCTCCTGGAGCAGCTCTGAGGGAGAAGGCACCTTTTCTGCACACAGCCCATTTCTGGAAAAATACGTGTTCACAGGCTGCATTTTTTTTAAAAATTTTATTTTGTCGATATTTTTTCTCTTTCAAAATTTGTCTTTATGGAGTCCCAAAGGGAAAATATGTATTTATACAACTCTGTTTACTGTATCAAATGGGTTCTAGTCCACAGAAGAATGTAAGAAAATACACCGTGCTCTTCCCTGTTCCCCTCTGAGCATGTTTGGGAAGGAGCAGCCCAAGGAGAGGCCCACAGGTACTTCCTGGTTTATGCTTGAGATTAATCGCAGGCACCTGTGAACAGGCTGTGGACCACACAGTCCTGGTCCCTTCAGTCCTTGGCCACCCAGGGCTCCAGTCCAGACCCAAGAATATCGAGATCTGAAGTGAGGGTTAGGGAACCTGCATTATTGAGAGTTCCCAGGGGATTTGTCCACAAAAGTGGCTGTGGAGAGGTGATCTAATCCTTCCCTCTACTTTCCAATAGCGCTGACCTTGATACAGCCCTCATGTGAGACTTAAGGGTCTGTGTGGATGACCTGTCCTGCCCTGGCTGGTGAGGCTCCTGTGTCCCCTTTGGCTTTAAATGTCTGTGCCACTCCAGAATCTTGCCTTACTCTCCCTGTGTGCTTGTGTTCTTAGAAAAGCCCTCACATGAACCAAAGCACTTCTTGAGGGGTAGAGGAGGATGCGGATTCCTACCCTCAATCTCTCATGGTCTCAGGGTGACAGCCTGCTTCCACACCAGCAGCTTGGCATCTTTAGTGTTCTCTGCCTGCTGGGAGCTGTTCTCTCTGGGATTGTCATGTCTGTCCACCCCCAGGAGCCACCAGCGTGGGGTCAGCGTCTGTGCAGAGTGCCCAGATGAGAGTCCAGCTGCCTCCCCTCAGGCAGCTGTGCTGGAGGTGCTGCCCAGGCCTTCTGCAGGGGCCTGGGGATCTTCATTTTAACAGGTCCTGCTCCCCACGTAGCTCTGGTGGAAAACCAGGTGTGGGAGCCACTGGGGCGGTCAGGATCTGTCCTGGGTTCAGGCGGAGCCATACCCACATCCTTGGAGATGCCTCCATTTTTACCTTAAAGACTCCCCCAAAAGGAAGACTTCACTACCCTTGCCAGAAACGTGCTAAGCACTGCTGGGCTCTGTTTCTTTCCCTTAGGTAATGGGAATAGAATTGCTCTTGCTGTCATCTGGCTCCAAGGGCAGTTTATTTCTCACCAGAGCCTGGGGCCAGGCACAAAACAGCTTCCCATTAAACATGCAGAGTTCAACTCCAATGACAGAGACTCAGGACCTGAAGCCTTGCTGTGTCCAACATTGCCCTCCACAGGCCCTCTGCCCCCTCACCTCACCACAGGGTCTGCAGGGCACTCGTCTCTTCTTGTGTCATTTACTCAACGGAGGCACAAAGTCTGAGGCATGACACACCAGGGCCTCTGAGGGCAGGAGGCCAGGGCTGTGGCTATGTGAGGTGGGATAGGGGCAGGTGGCTCCAGTCTCCAAATCTTCACCCCCAGGTGCATAGATGAGACCTGGTTGGGCATCCTGTGGGGTGAAAGCTCCAGCCCTTGGCCACTCTTGGTCTACACTCACAGGATTGGGCCATGTCAGCTGCTGTCAACCTCCAGTCACCCAGCTCTTGAGCAGGCGGCAGGGAGGTTGGGCGAGAATTGATCCTGAATATAGAAGTAGAAGAACCAAATTGTCAGGAAGAGGGAGAGCAGCTGCTCATTGCTCCTGGAATATTGTGCCTCCCTGCAGCTGGGCTGCCAGGTCCTGCAGCACCCAGGTGCTGGGCCTGCATAGGTGCCCCCAACCCCGCCCCTGTCCTGCTTCCCCTGAAGGTCTCTAGCTTTGAAGCCACTCAGCAGCCAGGCACCTTTCCATTCCCCGGGAAACAGGGTCCTCTGATGCCTTGGTTGCTGAAAGTAGGTCTGCAGACAAAGAGACCTGCCACTGGAGGAAAACTGCTGCCTGGCCTCCCGCCTGTGGAATTGTGACGCTGGGCTGGCTGCCATTGTGATGGCCGCTGGGGCGAGGAGGCGGGGGCTGCTTCAGGCCAGGCCCCTCCGAAGGGGCTTTCTGTGAGCAGGACCTGGCCCTGAAGCCGGCCCCCTCTGCCCTCTCACAACTCCCTGCGCAGGCCTGCCGTTGCCTCGCCTGGCCTCTCAGCCACTTGCACACACAGGATCTTTCCCTCCAGTTCTAGGTTGGAAGGGGAGTGGCTGAGTTGGGAATAGGCCAAAGCTGCACTGTCCAAGATAGTAGTCACTAGCCACATGTGGCTATTTTTTTTTTTTTTAGCACTGGTCACTTGAACCCTTGATGTTGGTGTTACATCAAACAAAAAAACCCCTCTTACATGGTAAAAAAAAAAAAAAAAGAAAAAGAAAAACCATTAGCAAAGTAAAAACATAAAAGCTGGGAAAATATATTTGCAACTTGTATTACAATGGATAATATGCATAATATATACTTCTAAAAATAAGAGATTCACAAAGAAATGCAGTGGCTTATAAACGTAAAAAATGCGCAACCTTGCTCAAAATATGATGAAATAAAAAGGACCATGAAATACCGTTCCTTGCTTAGCAGTTTGGCAAAAATCTCAACGTTTGATCACAATCCGTTGGCAAGGCTGTGAGTTATCAGGTGCTGTCACCCGCTGCTGGTGGTAATACACAGGGAACAGCCTCTGTGGAGGAGAATGTGACAATATCTAGCCAAGTCACACATGCATATACCCTTTGACCCAGTCATCTTACTTCTAGGATTCTTGTCCAAGGATCCCCTGGAAATATGTGAAGAGGATTCCAGTCCCACCACAAGGAGCCTGGGCAGCTAGGGCTCATCCTTGGGAGGGCTGAGTCATATCACCCCCATGGAGGAGCCAGCTGCATCCAGCCTACGGGCCCAGGAGCAAGTGATTAACAAATACATGGTTTTGCATATATTATCAAGGAGATTATGGAGACCTTGAAGGTCATCCATGCATGTTAAAAACTTTTGCATTCAAAAGGTTTTAAAAAAAAGTTTCTATGTACTAAGCACAATGTTCTGGGTATTATGCTAAGTGCATTAGATGTATTATGACATTTAATCCACACAACTCTTGGGAGTTAAACTGAGGCTCAGTTACATGAAGAGCTCATCTGAGTCCGGTTCTGTCGTTGGGTGGTCTCCCACCGGGTCACATGGGCACTGCCAGCACTGATCTGGTGGGAAGACCACCCAAGTATATGGCTTACAGGAGCCTTTTGGGTCCAAATCCACCATGCAATCCAGAACCAGAGGCACAGCAGAGTGTAATTGTGGAATAGCAACCTCATGACCAGGCTATGGCACAGCTTTTGAAAATTCAATGTCACACCTCTAGGCACAAAAATAAATGACACTCCCCAAATAAAGGCTCAGCAGAGTTAGCCTCATGTAAATGAATAAATCTGGTTCAAATGTGAATGGAAAAGTACCCATAGGAAAGAGCAGTGCACAGTGGCTCAGGAATGGTCTCTGGCAGGATGTGGCCAAGGGCGGTGGGTGCTAGGATCCTGCTGAGGGGTGGCTGCCACACTTCAGAGAACCAGGTGTGTGATGTGTGTGGCCAAAGGAGATCCAGTGTGAAAGGGAAACTGGGTGATCAGGAAACACAGTAACCAAGTGAGCCCTGCGTGGTCCTGGCAAGGTGGTAAGGCATGAAGGACAGATGGGGACAGTCCCCGGAAGATGTCAGGAAGCAGAGGTGGGAGTAGGGAGAGAGGGTGGGCTGGGGCCACTGATGCCCTTTAACCTGGTGGGGAGAACTGGGTTTGAAGAGGGAGAGGGCAGAGAATAGGTGTGTGTTGGTGGTGGGGAGATGGGGACAGAGGCACAGGCTGGCCTCCACCTCCCAGGCCCCCTCCCGTGATTCTTGCTACCCTCCCCTTGGGCACAGGGCCCAGACATCAGCTCTGACTCAGCTGCTGAAATGCAAACCCATGGCTCATTAATTAGGGAGCCTGTAATTAGCCTGTCTCAGAAACCAGGAGCCTCCAGAGAGAACCCCTCTCACCTGCCTTCCTTCCTCCCACCCAATGGATGAGATCAGGCTGGGGGAGACTGGCCTCTGGGACTGAGGGGGAGCATGAACAAAGGGGAGATGAGATGCTGGGACACGCATCCATGCATGCGACAGCCTTGGGGTGTTGACCTTCTATAATGAGATGAGGGAGATGATGGTAAGCGGCCCAAACCCTCAAAGCTTCCTTACCCAGAAAACCAGGGGCCAGACTCAGGCACTGCCTGGCTGGCTCTGCCGAGCTTGGTCTGGACAACACCTGCAAAGCCACGACCCCGCAGTTCAGTCTGAGAGTGAAACAGTCTTAGCAACCAGAAACCCACTTTACACCTTGTGCCGTTACTCAGCAGTTCTTAAAAGTCTCCTTTTAGCTACCTCCTCCGTGGCTCTTCTACAGAAGCTCTCCCACCTTTCTTCTCAACACTCCTTGGAAAAATCCGTTCCAGCACTTAGTCTTCTTTCCTCCCGACTTCATGCCACTGTGATTATCTTAAATGACAGGTGCCAATTGTTTGGCACACCTCCCCAGTAAGAGGTGAACACTTCCTTCTCTTGACCCTGGACAGGCTTGTGGCTGGTTTGACCAATAGCGTATGGCAGAATGGGCCGTATGTGATTCTGAGCCTGTCACGAAATGCCACATCACTT